CCCCAAAACCCCAAAACCCCAAAACCCCAAAACCCCAAAACCCCTTATGGGTAAATATAATTGAATTAATTATTGCTAATCTTCTTCATCTTTTGGGTACTCATGGACTGACTCTGGCTCTTCTTCAATCTTTTTCTTCAGGTTATCAAGCTCATCTGCTTTAGGGGTATCTGATTCATCATTGTATTGCCCATTTCCTGCTTCTGCTTGCATTGGGACTTCTTCCTGGTGTTGGTCCTCATCATGATGTTCTTCAGTGTCACTATCCTCATCGTTATGCTCTTTATCCAAATGTTGGCTTAGCTCGCTACAATATGAACCAGGGGGATTACCTTTGAGGGCTTTTAATGGTGTCACCAATAGGGGAATGGAATCTCTTTTGAGCAAGCTGTCTCATACTTTTGACACTTTCTTTTCCTTCATACAGCAGTTTGTTCTGGTCCTCAATGGTAAGGGATCCATACTTGAACTTGATTCTATCTGCAAGGGCTTCTATCCCTCCAGCAGATTTGATCAACTTCTTGCCTTGCTTGAAGAAGAACTCTTGGACCTGGGTCTTCTGGTTCTTGTTCATCCTGATCGAAATGATGTAGTACTTGACTTTAGTCCTGGAGATCTCTATCAGGTACTCTTTTTTCCCATATTTATGGATCTTTCAGTAAAGTACTTTCCTACATAATTTAGGTAGCCAGCTTACCTCTCAGGTTCAACATGGACATCTGCAGAAGTTATACTTATAGGGATTAGGTTATTGACTTCTAGGGAATTATTTGATAAAATACTTTTTGTTTTCCTCTTTATCGGCTTTAACTTCTTTGGTTTTGGCTTATGTAACTTCCTTTCAATAGAAGTTTCCTTGCCGTTTGAGGAGACAGAGTCAATTTCTCCTAGAAGTTGAGGAGAATTATTAGTATCATCCTCGTCTTCGCGAGGCCTTTCAGGACTTCCGTGGATTTTGGGTAGCGATTGGGTATTCCTGCCTTTTCTCATTTTCTTTGTTTTCTTCGGCTTAGCTTTGGTTTGTCTAAATAATTCATAAACGGCCTTTACTTCATTTTATTATTGTTGTTGGCGAGAGCAGGAGGGAATTCACAGAGATTGTTGAGAAGTTTCTCTTTATTTTCTACGCTCCATCTCCCAACCGACTACATCAAACTGTGATTTATTTCTCCTGGATTCTACGTAGGATGTTGTAGTTCTCTCTGGTGATTCTTTCTAGCTCTCTCTTGCGGAAACCGGCGTGGAGGGTGTTCTTCTTGGTAGGCCATTCTATGAAAAGTTCTGAAATTCCCTACTATGCATTTTCCTATCTTGCACACTGAATTTGGAATCATTAGTTAATATTTGTTTCATTTTATTGAGCAAATGTTTGTTGTCTCTCTCGATCTCGATGAACCGGTCTATAGTGGCGATCAGGGGCTGGATTCTGAGAAGAAAGCTTCATATTGGTATAAGCAAACATCTTATAAGCTAAATTCTTACTCTCAACTAACTGGTCTCGCTTTGCTGCTTTCTTAGTAAGACCATATGATGAAGGAGCAGAGAGGTCTACTTGAGACCTCACATTTTTGAGCTTCTTGTTGTCAACCATTTTCCTCTTTTCCTCCCACTTCTTGGTCAGGAATTTGTTTCCACTGCCAGGAATTGCTCGATGCATTTTATTTTATCTATATTTATAATAATTATGTGCTAGTATGGGGTTTTGGGGTTTTGGGGTTTTGGGGTTTTGGGG